CGTCAAACGGTCGACCGTTCCGAGCCCCGTAGCTTAATTAAATGATATTTTTTATCAGATTTCACCCAAATAAAATAAAGTATATTTATCCATTCATATTGTTTACAAATTGTTCATATCATATGACTCATATCATTACCCATATTTGTAGCATTCATATCATATGCATGCGTAAGAGATCATGCGTAATTGCGTCTCTTATAGCGTGATGTGCGGGACTTACTAGTCCGACATCACCCGTTCCGGGCTTAGTGTACGTACATGGTATTCAGGTTTCGAGTGCCACCCCTACTTTCTAGTCTTCCTTGTGAGACTAAGGCCGCGTGAGTTCGTCGTACCAAATGGGCGAATCTCATAGCGCAAGGGTGTCCTTGCTCGTTAAAATCATACAGCATGAAATTATCATCAAGTGCAAATCATCATGATTACGTATGGCATCAATTACGTATCATTACCATCATCCTGAACATATATGCTATATTATGTCACATCATGAATAATTGTATGTCTATTCGCTATTCAATTTGGAATTGTTGTATTAGCGTATTCCTCAGCTGACGCTGAGCGTGTAGTTTGTTTTACTTGCTACACGCAGGTAACAATACTGATCATGGAGCCCATCCCGGAGGCCAATGAGAGTGACGAGATGTACGGACTGGTGGACCACATTTATGATGCTTTAATTAAATAAATACCTTTTCGGGCGAGAACCCAGAAAAATGTAAAACGATTTGGTTATGTTTTATATTTAAGCTTCCGCACTGTTTCAGCAATACTCTGAATTTAATATTTGAAATTTATTATTTATGTGAAAATTTAAATTGGTTTTAAATTATCCTTCAAATTTCCATGCGTATTTACCATCATGGTAACTACTCCGGCTCAAATAATCTAGGTAATTGGGTTATTCGAGTTGGGGTGTTACACAACCATTTGGAAACTTCTTGTCAGGTACTCCATCACCATTACAAAGAGAAGAGGGGATATGGGATCTCCTTGTCTTAACCCTTTTGCCCATTTTATATATCCAAACTGACCCCCATTAATATTGATAGTATATATTGGATTAGTTACACAGAACATCACCCACTTTATGAATTGCTCAGGAAAATTAAAACTATGCAGTATACCTCTTATGGCCTCCCAGCTAACCATGTCATAAGCTTTCCTGGATGTCCAATTTCATCATGCATCTTGGTGAGATACTCTTTCTGGTGTAGCCTTTAGCTAACTCTTGGCACATTAGTACATTATGTATTAGTTCTCTCCCTTGGACAAAGGCCCCCTGATTACTATCAATGATCTGAGGCAATATTTCTTTCATTCTCCTACAGATCATCTTAGAAATGACCTTGTAAATGGTGTTGCAACAGGCAATAGGTCTGAAATCTTTAGGGGTAACTGGGTCTGATATTTTTGAGATTACAGTCAGTACAGTTGTATTCACTTGCTTCAGGGTGCTTCCCTCTCTGAAAAAATCCATAACTGTTGTGGTGGTCATTTCCTCAACCTCCTTCCATCTTCCTTGAAAGAATCCACTTCCAAAACCATCTGGACCTGGACTCTTATTTTTTGGAATGGAAAATACTGCTTCTTTTACTTCCTGTTTGTTAAAAGGTTTAATCAACCCCATTTGTTGTTCTAAATTCAGCACCTTACCCCTTCTGATAATCTTCTCATCAATTCCTTGTGTTAGATTCTTAGTGCCCAACAGTTTAGTGTAATATTGCACAAACACTTCAGCTATTTCTCCAGTGGTTTCTACTCTCTCTCCTTTATCATTCTGGATTGCCAGAATATGATTATACACTGTCCTCTTCTTGATCCATGCATAGAACAGCCTGGATCCCTTATCTCCTTTAGTTATCCAGTCTATTTTACTTTGTTGACTCATCAGACTATGTGAAGCCCTGATAGTTTTATTGAGGACAACCCTCAGTTCCTATTCTTTATCTACCATCTGGTCTGTCAGTTGGGTGTGTTTCATCTCTTGTTGAAACTTTAGTAGTTGTTCTCTAGCTCCCTCCATTTGCATATGTATCTTGTTATACTTCTCTTTATGGAGTCTCCTTAGTGGATCTTTTAGGTTCTTCATATTCATGATCAATTGATACATACTTCTATTATACCCCTCTTTTTTCCATACATCCCTCATAATTTGAACTAGTTCTGGGTCTTCTAGCCACATATTGCAGAATCTGAAAGGACTAACCTGCTTGGTAGTCATCCTGGTTAACAATAAAGGGGAGTGATCAGAAACCCCCTCAGCCAATACCTTCGTTTTAGTTCCAAATCTGGTCATCCAAATATCATTAGACAATTCCCCATCTATTTTTGACCAGATCCTATTATCTGGCCTTTGCCTGTTGGACCATGTATAGTGAGGCCCCACCCATGGGACCTCCTCCAATCCACACTCTAACACACACTCCTTGAAGTCCTTCATTTCATCCTCTGTAACCAAGTTACCCCCTTTCCTATCCTTAGCTTCCAGTACTGAATTGTAGTCTCCAATACAGCACCAAGCCTCCCTCATATGTTGTGAATATCTCCTCAGGTTTTCCCAAAGAAGTCTCCTACTGCTTTGGTCATTAAAACCATACACAAATGTAATCCAAAAGTACTCCTTATTATCCAGTTCCCTTGCCTTGCAATGGATAGTTTGTGCAGTTCTATCCATTATGTGAACCTGGACCTTTTTTTTATTCCATGCCACCCAGATCCTTCCCATTGGGTGACATTCCACATTAGTTGTCTTGTCCCAATCCTTAAATATCTTTTTCATAATCTCATCCTCCTTCTCTTTTTTTTATTTTAGTTTCTAAGATACCCATTATAGTAACTCCATATTTATTCACCAAATTCTTAATTTCACACTGCTTATTGGGGCTGTTGAGACCCCTAATATTCCAGCTCATGATCATGACAAAAAGGGGTAGTGACCTGTGTAGGGGGCATCCCTCCACCCCCCCCTTATTTAATTCATCTATTGTTATTCTTCTAGCACTTTTCTTCTTACTAACTTCTTGAAATCCATCTCCTTGGTCAACTGCCTCTTTTTCCTGCACATCTTCCATTTCCTCCTTATTTTCCCTTTCCTCTGGTTCAGGTTCTTCTTCTTGTTTCTGTTCAGGTTCCTCCACTTGTTTCTGTTTGGGTCTCCAAACTTTTTTGATAGGTCCTTTTCCTTTTTTGTCCTCCTGTTTCTTCCTGCATTCATAACCAGTATGACCCATTCTATTGCATCTTGCACATATAGTAGGCCTCCATTCATATTCCACAGACCGGGATATGACTCTGCCCTCTTCATCAGCAAAATGAATAAGATTAGGGAAATCTTATTGCACCTGCACCTCCACTTGGATTCTAGCAAACCCCCATTTTGCTCTTGTGGCTATTGCCTTATCTCTCCTCACAGGTTTGCCAATCATACTCCCAAGTTTGCTCAATCCTGTTAGGCTCCAATATTTCATGTTCAGGCCTGGAAATGTCACCCATATTGGTACATCCTTCAGCTCTGTTACATCAATCTGGTATCCTGGATTCCATGCTTTCACTAACATTGGCTTCTTATCAAAGTAATAGTATTTTCTCTTTAGAACTTCTTCCCTATCTGCAGCTTGTTTGAATGAGATTAGATATTGTCCTTCCTTCATAAAACACACATCCTCTATGCTTAGTCCTTTCCATATACGATGCACATATCCATCTATTACTTCCAAAGGAGGATTAGCTCCTAGGACACATAGCACTATTGCCTGATCCCACATACCTAAATCCTCTATCAGATCTTCTTTCAGCATCTTAGCAACACATTGTCCATTAATTTCCTCTGATTGGATAAAGGTAAGTTCATAATCTATTTTATCTTTGCCCTCAACCACTTCCGCATACGAGGGCTTTTTCCCCTTTGTCTCCAATGTCTTATTCGAACCTTCCCCTTCCAGAATTTCAGTATTAGCTAGGGTTCTACGAAATACCTCAATTGGAGTATTAGGGATCGAGTTCATTTCCTTTAGCTTCGACCTCGCATCATCAGCAGATTGTTCAGTTATGACTGTAGTCATTGATTTTGGCGTTGATTGCATCTCCATTGCCTTCTTCCTCGGTCGCCCTCGTTTCCTCGCCATCTAGAGAGAGAAACGCAGCGATCTCTCCACACTTATTCTTATTAAAATTATATTAGATTTAATCATTTCAGATCCAATCAGATCAGATTAGACTAGACCAGATTGAATTAGATCAGATCTAAATAAGTCAAATTAGATTCAATCACATTTTATTCGACAAAATCAGATCAGATCAACCAGATCCAATCAGATGAGAACCAATTAGATAATATTTTTTAGATTAAGTTATATACAATTGAAAAAATGCTAATATTTTTTCTACTATTACATAATAATTATACTAAATTTATTTATCTTATATTATTTAGGGGGGGTGTATTCGACCAGGATTCTAATGAATTATTTTGGATTCTTAAAGTCTGTAGGTATTCAACTCAAATTTTAAAAAGATCTCGGTGTATTCAATTGAGATTTTAAAGTCTTTTTAAATATGATGATATTAAAAAATTGATAGATTTTTAATAAAATTTAATAATGTAGATTTTGATGGATTTTTTGTCTTGCTTATAAACACATATCCAGGTTCCAAATGCAACCAACAGCCCCAAGATTTTGCAGACTCCTCTTCTTCCGCACGAATGAGATTTCACACAACCAGAACCACTTCTTATCTTCTCATTATTCGATCTATCGGCTGCAACACCAACACACATCGACGATGGTCGGTAACGATTGAATCAATGATGGGCGAATCGAAATTTGACGAAGGGTGATTGGGATTGAAGACGAAACAATCAATGATTGGCGAATCGAAATTGCAGACACCGATGGCGATTGAATCGATGATTGGCGATTCAGAATTTATGTTACATTATTAAATGTTGAATATAATTTGCTAGTATAACAACAACAACAATAATACAGTAGAGATCTTTTGACCCTTAAAAGCCGGGTCAAATTATGACCCAGGACACCTATGGTACTCTGTTGATAAAATTGATTGTTTCTACCCCCTTAACCCCACTCCCCTCACTTAGATCGTCGATTTGTGCAACCCAAATTGACAGTCTAGTGGGAATGAGTGGGGTGCACAGGGGCTAGAGGTTAGGGGTAGGAAGCATCAGTTTTACCAATAGAGCACCATAGGTGCCTCGAGTCATAATTTGACCTTGGTTTCAAGGTCAAAAAATCTCCACCGATAATAATAGTTACTATTATTATTACATATGATTAAGTAATAGTTATTATTGTTATAATTAATTAAGTAATCATAATACTCTATTTATTTTTAAATTATTGTCTTCTTTAAAAAAATGTTGAAATTTGCATCTATTTTAAAATAATTCTTTTTTTATAAAAAAAGTATATAAATAAAGAGTATAATTTACATCTATTAAAACTAATTCATGAGTTCTAAAATAACTAGTAATATATTTATTTAATTTTATCAAATAACTAATGAAAGTACATCTACAAAAAAATTATACATTGCCTATAATCGTATACATGAGGACACTTACAGATATGAAAAATTCTAATCTCGTTCTTCAGTTCATACTCATTTTATGGACCTTAGTATATCAATACAATGAAAGAGTTGATCTTTTTCCAAAAAGAAAAGATCCCTATGATGACCCGTGAAAAGTGTAAAAAGTTTTAAATTTCAAATCTGGGCCTTAGAGTCATAGAAACACAACTCTACAAATAAAATATATTATGTAAGCAAAATTTCTAACATGAGTATTATGACATCTATATTTTTTACATATTTAGCAAAAAATATAAAAAAGTAACTATTTTTGTAACATAGTATTCATATTTCCATTAATTTGTTATTGTCAAAGATTTTTTTATACATATTCACTATATTACTCAACTATTATTTTTTGTTTCATAAAACACACAAATCTATAATAACAACAACAACAACAACAACAACAATAACAATAATAATAATAATAATAAGTTATTACAATAATTTTAACTTTTAATTAGATCAAATAAAAAGCATTCAAATCAATTCAGATTAAATCAAATCATATTATATCAAGTCTAATCCAGTCATATGAGGCCACATGAGATCTAAACATATCAAATTTAGTCTAATCTAATCGGGTCATGTTTAGTCAGATCAAATCCAATCTGATGAGGCAAACGGGATATAATGATATTTTTATTTGCTAGCTTGACAAGAAAGAAAAGAGTCTTTCTAAGAGCTTTAGTTACCCCTTAGTTGCGCATTTTGCATCTAGTAGGCTAGTGATCGAATTGTGATGTAGAGTTTTGATTACATAAACCACTAGCCAATGAAGTAAGTTGGGAAGGTGTTGATGTCTCAAAATTCAGTTATGGGCATGTTTGTGTGTGTGTGTGCGCACACAACTAACTTGAAAACATGTTTTAATAAAATATTTTTAAGTGTGTAAGTGTATAGGTTTTTATGATTTTCGAAATAATATTACGATTGATTGCTATATTAGGCCAATGTGTAATTATCAATGTAATCTACCCAATATACCTGCCCTGATTAATCAACTGACATCAAGGCAAGGACCCAAGGAGTGAACATGTGCATAGATACATGGGCTTAACCCATATAGGCTGAACGATGAGCTTGATGGGCTGGCTGGGCCGAATATAATTTAGATTAGTTACTTAGGGAAAGTTTTCCTAGGTTTCCTAAGATAAGTCTAATATGATTTGAAACCTTAGATGTTATAAATATCCCCAAAAGGGTTCTAACTAAGGGGGTTCTTTTCTTCAACTTTTGAGTTCAATGTTCCAGTCTTTTATTAAATAATATTTCCGTAATTCCTTAAAGGTTTGCATGGGATTAATGGATGGTGAAATTAATTTTCATCATTCATGTTTTCATTGAGAGGGAGTGAGAATATTCAAGCGTTTTCTTGAGCACTAGTATCACACCCGTGCGCTGCACGGGTCATACTTACGTTACTAAAATAAGATCATTTTTAATGATAAATTATGATATGTAATAAAATATAGAGATTTTATTATTTTAAGGAACAAAAGTTTTTTGCTTAGAAATTTCAAACGACTTTTTATAAACTGCATTATTCGTAAAATTTATGGGAACACTATGTTCATTGCATATTGAAATCTTCAAGCCACTATTATTTGTTACTCTATTATTATTATTATTACGTTTATTATTATGCTTATTATTATTACTCTATAACTTATCTTTATTATTATTACGTTTATAATAATGATTATTATTATACGGTACCATAAAATTACCATATTCTTTTTATTCTTTCACATGCTACCTTTCTTATTATGCATGGTACCAAAATCTATAACGTATGAAATTGCCTTATTAATAATTAATAATTAATAACTAATAATTAAGGTTTCACATGTTACCTTTTTTATTGCACAATACCGAAAAATATAAGGTATGAAATTACCTTATTAATAATTGATAATTAATTTTATAATTTATAATTTTGGTAAAAAAAATATAAGGTGTGTGAATATTTTTTTTTAAAATCAAGTCAACACTTTGATTTATTTTATACATGGTAATAGCACAAAACTAACATACCTTCATTATTATTACGTTTATTATTATGATGATTATTAGTATACGGTACCATATTATTTTCATATTATTATTATTATTCTAAATGTTACCTTTTTTATTACACATACAAAAATATAAGGTATGAAATTACCTTATTAATAATTAATAATTAATATTATAATTTATAATTTTGGTAAAATATATAAGGTATGAGAATACATTTTTTAAACCAAGTCAACACTTTCATTTATTTTATACACGGTAATAGTACAAAACTAACTTAGCTTTATTACTATTATTACGTCTAATATTATGATTATAATTATTATTATTCGGTACCATATTATTACCATGTTTTTATTCTTTCATATGTTAATTTTTTTATTATACTCGGTACAAAAAATTATAAGGTATGAAATTAACTTATTAATAATTAAAGTTTCACATTTACCATTTTTATTACAATGTTCCAAATTTATGAGGTACGAAATTACTTCATTAATAGTTCATAATTTAAAATTAAGTTCCACATGTTACATTTTTTATTATACACGGTACCAATAATAATTATTACGTTTATTGTTACTATTATTATACGGCATCATATTATTACCATATTAATATTAAAGGTCACATGTTACCTTTTCTATTATTATTATTATTACATGGTAACATAATAATTAATAATTTAATAATTAATAATAACTATGAAATAAAAGTGAGAGAGCAAATAATTATGAAATTACCTTGTACACGGCAGTTACCATTTCAAGTTTTAGCACTTATCTTTTGTGACTAAAATGTTTAGGTAGGAAAATAGAATGGAGAATTCCCTTCTTTTTAAATATAGTATAGATATAGATGAATGTCGTCTATCAAAAGTAGTAGCTTGATGTCTTTAAAAGCTATGAATTTATATCGGAAATTCGAAAATTGTTCTAAAGATAATTTATGAAGCTTCGTCTTTCCAAAAAATACTATCATAAAAGGGTGGGAGGTCGTCTTTGTGTTTTGTAGGTTGCGTTGGACTTTAAACTTATATAAACCATAAACATTGTTTTCTTTAAGGTCATTCTCGAAAGTCTCGATATTTGAATCTCCTATATATCAACGCATAAATCCGATTTTCTTGTAAATGTATCTAAGTAGTTAATGTAATCAATAATTCTCATTGTATCGTATATATACTGAAACTGAGTCGAGGGAAACTGTATCATACTTTGTCATCATGAAAAATGACGTCAAAGATTCTGGTGTTCGATAAATATGTATATCGCAAACACTTACCATGAACGGACCAATACCATCGTCAACTTCGTCTAGTGTGGACCACACACTAATTAGTCCTTATGTGGTTTGTATTAAAGAACGGAAAAAGTAAATTTACGATGCGAATGTGAGTTAACAACCATGGAAAGTCATGTTCTATTTATACCCAAAATAATTAGTACACTCTATACGAATTGAAAGCATTGTGTTTTATATTCCTTTTAAAAAAATTCCTTTTATAAAAATAGATTTAAAAGCATTGTATTTTAAAA